TTTACTATCTGGGGTAGATGCATTTCCATTTGTATGTTTGTTCTTCTTAGACTTCTGATTCTGTAGGAAACAAAAGAATATCAAAAAAAAAGTGGATTACAGGGTATCTTTTAACCAAACAAGACAGATAGGCAAGGATGGATGAAAAATCTGCATTTTGTTGTGATAAAATATGATCCTGGAAAACACCTCTAAAACTACAGTCATTAGAAAAGGAAGATGTAATAAAACAACAATACTGATGATCAGCTGAGCACAAGCAAGTAACAAATATAATCAGGCTTGTAATAAAACAATACTCATGATCTGCTGAACATAAATAATGGATATAATTAGGCATGTAATAAAGCAACAATACCCATGATCTGTTGAACATAAATAATGGATGTAAATAAACATGTAATAAAACAACAATACCCATGATCTGCTCTACACCAATAATGGATGTAAATAAACATGTAATAAAACAACAATACCCATGATCTGCTCATACACCAATAATGGATGTAAATAAACATGTAATAAAACAACAATACCCATGATCTGTTGAACATAAATAATGGATATAATTAGGCATGTAATAAAACAACAATACCCATGATCTGTTGAACACAAACAATTTATCAATTTGTTTGGGTTTCAGAGAATTCACATTTTTTCTGTTTATACTCTAATTGTCTGATGGTTTACACTTTAACTATCTAATGTCAGAGGTTATAAACCAGGCCTTATCTAGGGCATCAAGTTTGTGGGGGGTGCATAAAGTGGTGTTAAAGCGAAGTATAGAACACAGTAATTCTGTTTATAAAGACTGTCGTTGTACTGTTTTATAGTGATTTCTTAAAGAAAGTTAAATAAAAACAAAGAATTATTTAATAATAAAATTGATATTTGGAGAAACCAAAGTCAGTGTTTAGTTCTTTAACCCCTTCTGTGTCAGGTTTCTTTAGTAAATCTGCTCAAAAATTTTAATATTTTATTCTGCTTTTTAATAGCCTATACTTATATGTTAATGAAACAAAAGTTATTATATTTCTGCACACAATAAATACCTGGATTTATATATGATATATATTATTTCAATGAAACTACAGTAAAGAATAGGAATATTTTTCTCCAGAGTTTATGATACATAATTTAGGATAAATCTGACAGAGATCATGAAAAACAGGATTACCGGTGCCATCTACTGAGCACCGATTGTAATACAAAACATAATAACATAATATTTTGGGACCTATTGGTCCATCTAAGGCTGTTCCATCCTCAAAACTAAATTAAAATGATTAAAAAATAAATAAAATAAAGCTATCATAAAGTCAGCCCTTATCATTCATATAGTTATCAAGCTTTTTCTTAAACTTACTTAAATTTACTGCTTCTACAAAATCTGAAGGCAACCCATTCAGAAGGCCAAACACCTTGTGCTTCCTACCTTGACAAAATTTATATTTGTGTCCCTTAGTCCTACTATTCTCATTGTTAAATATAAAAAAGATGATGCATCACCACTATCAATTCCCTTTCCAATCTTAAACACCTCAATCTGATCTCCCTAACTCTTCTTTTTTCAAGAGAAAACAATTTGAGAGATTTCAGCCTCTCATCGTACGACAACCACTCCATCCCAGGCACCATTTTAGTAGCCTTTCTCTGAACCCTTTCCAACAGTTCAGTGTCCTTCCTAAGGTAAGGAGCCCAAGACTGAACACAATATTCTAAATGTGGCCTAACCAGTGACTCGTACAATGAAAGTATAACCTCTTTAGATTTGTATTCACTATTTCTATAGATACAATCCTATTTGCCCTACCAATAGCAACAAACAGCACACTGCTTGGATGGCTTTAGAGACTGTTCGACTATTACACCAAGATCCCTATAGAACAATAAAAAAGTAATGATTAGTTTCAAGCCCAGCATGATTAAGGACACAACTTAGGCCCTGGTTTCAGTTGTCCAATGGTTTAGGTTTTAATATTCAAGGAACTGCTTTAAGAAACTATTTACCAATTTATTTGATCCTTCGTTCTAACTGTGAAGCCCTAGTCACTATTATCAAGAGTGATTCCGTTGACTCAACCGAAATAAGGACCAATGTTGGTTTGAATCATACTTCAGTGAAGCCTTTTTAACCCTTAAATACCAAGGGTAGGGTATCATAAAATCTTAAACAATTTTGTTTTGGTCATAACCAATTTTCATATTTCTTTTTTATAATAATAATACAGAGATTTATTTTTTGTAATCTTAACACTCGTGGAAAGCTTTTGAACACCGCAATATGTTTCTTTAAGTACTCCTTTAGGGTTGTGTGCTCAAAACAAAAATCACTCTAGTAGTTGAGAATTAATAGTCTCTCAGGCCTAATTAGGCCTAATTACTAGGCCTAATCTTCTGAACAGAAGATTAGGCCTAGCGATAATTTCCCCACTAATGATTTAAATATGAGCTCAAGAAAATTTTTTCTAGAAAATACTGATTTTAAATGCTCACAATGTAGCTATTTTTCCAAAAAACACTTTGATATTACTCTCCTACATAAGTTTGTAATATCTGCAGAGTTTTTTGCATTAAAAAAATAACCATTATTTGCCCTACTCCAATTTGTTGAAACAACTATTATTTTCCTTTTAATTTATGCAACTTCAAAGAAATATACTCAAACCCATTACCAAGATTCAGATACACACATTAGAAATTAATTACCAATGAACTACAAATGGCCATTTCCAATTAATATTGAGATTAAAATAAAATTTTCTGCAATAGACATGCATTTCACTTTTCTACAGCTGAAACAAAATCCAAAATTTGGCATGCAAGAATAATTAAAGTAGAAACAAATTAAGATATATTCAGACTCAATTTAATATCTTTGTTTTTAAAATAAGAAGTTAAAAACACAGAGTTCAAAACTAATTATCATTATTGCCCAGGCAACATGCAGCTTAAAAAACTAATGTTACACAGTTTAACATCTTCAAACTCATGTCATCTGATTAGTTGTTTTATTTAGAGCGATGAGAGCTAGAAATTACAATCTCAAAATTTATTGAGATATGATAAGTATGGCCTTAATGGCTACTTACAGTTATAGGTTTAAATATTTTCATCTTAGTCTGTTATCACCTAACCTCCAATTAACATAAAAAGTTTTTTTGAAACATAGCTTTTTTTTAATAGAATCTCTTCACATTTCTGCACGCGATAGCTTTTCATTGCTATTATGAAAGAAACTTCGAAAGTTCGCTAGAGTTTTAAATAGAGTTAAACGTGAATGAAGGTGAAAAGAAAAAACTAAGTGAAAATGTGTTGACTTCAATGCTTCTTCGACAACTCTAATTCTTAGGAAATCGTGCATGCAATTCAAAAAGAAGATGAGAAAAGTAATTATTGTGTCTACTTATGGACAACGGCTTTTGTTAACCGCTTTACTTAAGAATTCAAGGTTTCATCATTCCGCATAACATCGGTTATAAAGTACTTTCCATTGATCTAAGATCTTGGTGCAAGTATAAGTTTTTTTTACAGATTATACCACTTTTATCAAACTTTTATTACAGAGATGAACCACACAAATATGAATGTTCTTTTTGTTTTTGAAAAATTCCCTAAGTTTTGCTTAATGACTATTTTTAAGACATGATACGGAAAAAATTTCCTTTGTTGATTTAAACTTTTACGGTGTTTCTCTTTTTAATCTAATGTCTAGTTTGTGCTAACCACGTTACTAAAACAGGAAACAAGTTGAGAAGTAGAATGTTTTTTTAAAGTGCTAAGGAGTTTAGTAGCACAGATCAAACAATTTCCTTAAAGTTTTAAAACATGAATGAATTTAAACACTTCTCTCAACTTCCTTTTTATTTTCATTATTTCATATTTACTAGGATATAAAATTATATTATAATTATTCCACTTTTATCAGGAATCACCATTTATTTAGCAACACCAGGAATTGTTACATTTTATAAAGAAGAAAGTTCTTATTCTTCCCTTATTGGAATGTCCTTAAGTTTATCTATCAGCTTTTATACAATACAAATATCCTGGTTTTACTTTTTTCATCTTTGATACACTTTTATGTATTATCTCTAAGCATTTCACTAAACCCTCTATCGGTGTATACTTTAGTATTCCTGAAATGACTTTCCAGTTATTCCAATTTACTGTCGGAGTACAGTACATAAGGAGTGTTCAAACAACATAAGATGTTTCTAAGTTTGCCACTTGTCATGAGCTATGTGAATCAGTAGGTCACACAGGATTAGTGAAAGTAACAATGAAACTGAATTAGTGAAAGTAGTGACCAAGTACGAACAGTACAGGTAGTGATCAAACAGGAATAGTACAACTAGTGACCAAATACGAACAGTAAAAGTAATGACCAAATAGGAACAGTAAAAGTAGTGATCAAACAGGAATAGTACAAATAGTGACCGAATACGAACAGTAATCGTAATGACCGAATAGGAACAGTAAAAGTAGTGATCAAACAGGAATAGTACAAATAGTGACCGAATACGAACAGTAATCGTAATGACCGAATACGAACAGTAAAAGTAATGACCAAATAGGAACAGTAAAAGTAATGATCAAACAGGAATAGCAAGTAGAGCAACATGAAAGTTAAAAGAAAAAGATATGGAAATAGTAAAAGTAAGAGTTAACAGAACAGAGAAAGATAAAAAAAATACAAAAAGTACAAATCAAACAGAAATAGTGAAAGTAAAGATCAAACAGAAATAGTGAAAGTAAAGATCAAACAGGAATAAAAAAGTAAAGTTGAACACAAACAGTGTAAAATTGAGGCTCTTGGACTGGTAAAATAAATCAATAAAGCAGATGGAAAGTAAAAAATGATGCAAAGGAAACAGTGAAAGTAAGCAAAC